GGCCACACCTCCATTCTCTAACCCCCTACCCACTTTGATGCATGTTTCAAATTTCGCCTTGGGGCGGAGTTATCTTTTCACTGGGGGGTAAGATACACTTTAACTACTCAGCTACAGCCACCCAGTTAAAAGTTACAGCCTGTGAAATCTGATTTAGTTCTTATATGTAAACACTATTAATTAAAATAAACTAATATTTGTATGGCCCAGATTAAAACAAAGATGTGTGTCTTTGTTTCACTTAAAAAGAAAGAAAAAACTCAAGAAATCATCTTTGTGACTGATGCTGCCAAAACGTCTGAAGAGGATTCAGATTTCTGTTAACAATAATTTAGAGTGCGTCCTGATGCGTCTCAAAAAAACACACTGTTCTGTGGCTGTAATCATCTCAACCAAAGGGATTCTTGTTGGTGCGACCGCAAAGTTCAGTCCCCTGGCAAGGATTTCAGTTTCTGGCTGGGTGAGCTGTCTGTCAGACAAATTCTTCACCCACTTCTCTGTCTCCYGCCCCTCTGYTTTGGAAGTGGTGTGCTGTCCAAGCGATGTGTACCGTGCTGTGAGATGGTGTGTGTTATCATGTGTTCTTTCTGTCTATAAACAAAAGTTAATTACATTCTACATCGGATGTAAAAGTTACCACCTTTAGGGGTGTAACCAGGTTGAAGAGGTTATAAGGCTGAAACATTATGATATACAAAGAAGTTATTAGTGTTTTGCACAGTCTCTGCTTAGATCCAGCCTGGAGAGACTGGCCTGCTTTCTTTGGGTTTTCTTGATATGAGCTCAAGGCCTCAAGCTGAGGCCTGTGCTGACTGCTGTTCTGCACCTGACCCGAGTCAGATTGAGAATAAATCCAGTGGGTCCTGCTCTTATTCAGACATGACRTTTTTAAACAGCACATTGTTTTTTACAAGATCATGATTGTCTTTATTTCAATGGTAAAATATTTTTCATGGAATCAAACTAAACCAGCAGCGGCAGGAAACCAGTCTGTGTCCTGCAGATGTTGTCTGTTCTCCCATCATGTCATTCTCTTCCAGCATCTTTTTGTTGTTGTTAACCTGGTTTTAATCAAGTCATCTCTCTGTTTGCAGGGGGAGCAGGCTGAGCGTTTATCATATCGCAACTTTTTCTGCTCAGTGAGCGAGCTGCGAAGTAAAGTTCGCTCCCTCCTCTATGGAGATCTGGTGCTCCTCTTTAACTCATCGTCCTCCCTGGTGTACATGCGGGTCTGGGACCAGAGTGATCGGTACCTGGCTGCCTTTAACTGGGGGCCAGAGGAGGAGGCGGTCTTTCAGCTGAGCAGTGTGGCAGTGCCTCGACATGCGGCTGTTGTCCTCAGCACCAACAGCAGCGCTCTACCTGAAGACAGCAGTGTGGACCTGCAGAACCTGCAGCTCGGTCCGGGACAGGCTGCTCTCATCAAGTTATTATCATCAGAATAGAGGAGATTTGGATGAGCTCCCTTCCTGTTGGTTCTACTTAAAGGTCCTAATGAAGGTTCACTCAACTGTCACAAACATCAACTAGTGTAGTGTAGTGTAGTGTAGTGTAGTGTAGTGTAGTGTAGTGTAGTGTAGTGTAGTGTAGTGTTGTGTGTAAGTACCTGACAATATCTCTTCTTCTACTGTCAATTAAATCAAGCTTCAAAAATGTGCAGAGTGTTCAGATTAGTCTAACAATCTGGTTTTAAAATAATCCAACAGGACCTGTTAACAGAATTTTTAATAATTAGTTTAACAAACAGATGGCCCCTTTTTAAATTTATAGATAAAGAATTGTTCATTAAAAACATCAATTCTAATTACTAAGATGCCTAAAGCAGGGTATCACTAACTTTCCCTAACCCTGGTTCACTGAGAAAATGATTCAGAAATATTTATTGGTCTTGTATATCCAGGTCTTTGGTGTGTGTGATGTGCAAATGTCAAAAAAATAATAAAATAAATAAAATAAACAAACTGATTTCAAGCAAACTGGGAGAATTACTGTTTTGGCACAATCAAAAATGATCATTTCATTTATTGTGTACAATGAATAAAACTACACATTTTGCTTTCATTTTTCAAACAGTTTGTTGTTTATATGGTGGGAAATAAAACAGCAATTAACCAGGTCAGATTTATAGTCATCACATTAACTCCTGAGTACAACAAGAGCAAATCAAACAAACAAAAACAAAATTAATCAAATAGAGAAAAAAAAAACATTGTCATTTAATAAAAGAAGTCTTTTGGAAACTAAAACAAAAAAGGAAAGTACATGTGAACAAATTGTTTTCAGTTGTACTCATGGATTAAAGGAAAAACAATCTTTTGACTGATTTTTTAAACTCCTCATGGGGTCGGTGTATCTTTTGGTCATTGGATTTTCATTTTGGAAACGAGCATCAAAAAACAAGAAACGAGTGGTTATTTGATTTTTGTTTTAAAACACTGAAATAAAAATTAAAATACAACGCGTTTCTCATTCTTAGTGTCAAAAATGGATAACAAATTTTTTTAAATGACTTGAGTTTTATTTTCTGTTTCAGATAGCAAAAAAGAAAATAACTTTAAAACCGAAACGAAAAAGGCTCRATWGTTATTTTACGACTCTATTCCCTGACCAGAAGGGGCGCTGTCCTGGCAGCTCTGCTTAATAAAACACAAATTTCTGTGAATAAAAGGCTGAAACACAGAGAAGTGTATGATGACTGTTGACCTGTGACCAAAGACTGTGCAGAGTTACTTTGTTTAGCTTTTGGCCAAATAAAAGCTGCTGCCTCCACTTCACCTCCATTTCTCTCAATTTTTATTTCAGTGTTTGAAAACAACAATCAAATAACCAGTCGTTTCTTGTTTTTTATTACCTGTTTCCAAAATGAAAATCCAATCACCAAAAGATACACT